CCTTGTCAACCGCCGAGGCGGAGTATATTGCCGTGGGTGCTTGTTGTGCACAAATTCTTTACATTAAGCAAACTCTTTTAGACTATGGTGTAGTTCTAGAAAAGGTACCTCTTTTGTGTGACAATGAGAGTGCGGTAAAACTTGCTAATAACCCGGTTCAACACTCCCGCACCAAGCATATAGATATTCGTCATCACTTTCTTAGAGATCATGTTGCTAAGAATGATATTTCACTAGAAGGTGTAAGGACCAAGGATTAATTGGCGGATATCTTAACAAAACCGCTAGATGAGGCTACTTTTTGCCGGTTGAGGAATGAGCTCAATGTGCTTGACCTAAGTTACTTCACTAAAAATTGAGCTTGTGTTGTCCCTTGCATTGTATTGTAATATAAAACATGTCTAATTTTTGGTGATGCACTTAGGGATTGTCTAACATGGTTAAGATAAACGCTGAAAAGCGTGTGAAGAAGCTTAACCTTGGATCAAACTTGACAAGCAACTAGATTTACTTTCAAGTATCGCATACCATATGCATGTGTGTTGCTTTGTCATTTCTTTTCGGTTAAGTTTTGAGCATCCGCTATGTTCGCTCACACTTAGGGGGAGCATTTGAAGCTCTACTTGGTTAAGACCCCTAAAGTGTGGCCATATGATGTCTCCTCGCTCTTTTTTATTGCCTATTTTCTTAAAAAGATATAAAGCCTAAGGCAAAATATTTGAAAATTTTGAGGGTTTGAGAGAGGTCGCTCATACTAGTTCCAATTGGTATTTATTTGGCTTTTATTTGAGTTGGAACTTGGTTGGGAGAAATTGTCGCGAAGAAAGATGGAGAAACAGACGTTAAATGTGCACCGGACGCAGTGATCGGACTCACCTACAGTGGCGTTCGGTCAGTTGTTGAGGATCGGACTCTGTGAACAGTGTCACAGTCACGTCCGGTCATGTGGAGGACGTAGCGTCCGGTCGTTACTTAGGGTTGCACCTGATAAGGACATCACTACTTCATCGCATACAAGCCAAGGAGAGGAGCAGGTCTAGCATGGGCGTCCAACTCATCTTTTTCATGGTGGAGGCCCAGTCCAATCGAAGTTGGAGTCCATCTCGGGTTTCAGGACTAGTTTGCCTTAAACTGGTCACCTAGGACGCATCTGGACTCTATTTTCGACGATCCACATATGGATGGAAAGATAATTTGATAAGGAAGCCAATACAAGTGGTTTCACCTCAAAAGCTCTTCAGAATCAATGGGAATCATCGAAACAATTCAGCATTCAGAATCTGTCAGGGTGCTGTGACACCGTCTTTTCGTCCGTTGGACCGTGCATCGTGTTTGGGCCCATTAGGGGGCGCGTCCAAGGGGGTGAAGCCCAAGACTCTATAAATAGTAGCTATCACTCTCCTTAGGGTTTGGGTTTTATTTAGTTCTTGATTTCCTTATGAAACAAACATTGTTTTGCTGCAACCGTGCCGCCAAGGCTGCTTGCTGTGAACCAGGGCCCCAGTTCTTGATCTTGTTCGCCTGTGGCGATTAGTCCTTTCGAATAAAGACTTGAACTCCTTCTTGTTTTCATAAGCCTCATATTTATTTGCAATTTCAGATTGTGTTTATCTCGTTCTTGCTTGTGTTCTCGATTCGCTTGCAGGAAAGCCTTCTCGGCGAGGTCAATCGCGTTCTCGTGGTTGATAATCAACGGAGCAGTGGTGTAACGGTTGCGGGGGTCCGAATCAGTCTTGGTTCAAAGCCTAGATCGTGAACGTCGAATCTCCACCAATCGACGCTATCATACCTTTTGGAAGATCGGGCCTAGTCTACATCAAGTGGTATTAGAGACCTTGTTGTCCGTTAGGTATAACTTTGTTTTCCCTTTAGATTATTACTGTTTTTGCATTACCTATAGTCCACAAAAAGCAAAAAAAAAATATATATGCCACCACATATTCCCTGTCCTATAGCCTCATTGTGTCGTGCAATTTCATTTCTGTTTCGCGTTGTTGAGTTTGTGCCCTAGGTCAAGTTTTGGTTGCTGGTTTTAGATCGTTTTTAGTCCAGTTTGTGTCTTTCCCTTTGTTTTTCATCATAATCCGTGAACACCTTCAAGTCTTGCTGTGTTTCCTTTGTATCCATCAAACCCTAGTCCATGTCATCTAATTTGTTGCACTTGTCTTCACTATTTCCATCAGATCCTTGCTGCCGTGACCAATTTTGCGCGCATTGTTCCTGTTTTGTCCTCTAATTCGGAGTCCGTTTTTAAAACTAGTCTAGTTTTCGCATACGAACTCCGATTTCGACATTCCATATATCAAAATCAATCAAAAAAATTGGATCCATCCATCCCTGGCTTTGCCGGGGTCAAAAATTTTATTTTGGACAAAAGTGGTCACAAGATCCTCTTTTCGTGGTCACAAGCTTTTTGTGGATTTTGAGCACTTCTTCTGAAAATTCCACAGGCCATGCCTTTCACTTGTTTAAGCTCATATTTTCTATGGTTACTTCTTTTGTGCTCCTAAGTGAAGGAAAAATATCAAAAAAAAAAAGAAAAAGTCAAAATTTCCCAAAAAAACTACGACAGCCCAAAAAAATAGAAAAGGAGAGGGGCAAACGAGGAACAATATCTAGAGGAGCACATAGAGAGCACCATTTGAGCTATGTTTGCGTATGCTAATTTCTACCTTGTTCCTAATTATATTCTTGCTGTTCACATCACTTGATACATCTGGTACTTGGAACGTGAGTAGGCCAGCAACTAAGACAAGTACTCGGGATACTTATTCAGCTTTGCTATTCAATTGTGAATATTGTTTTTCCTTGCTACTATATTATGCCTGTCCAAGCTCCACTTTCTTCTAACCAAGTACAGGTTCACCTTGCAACTGTTACACTCAAGCTACAATGGTATCATAGTCACCGACCGATTGCACCGCCTGTTGCTTTGGTAAGAACACTTGTAAGACCATGGTAAGATGCTTGAGAGTTGAGTGCCTTGTTTTTTCCTTGTCCACAACCTAAGTAGTTGGTAGGTATAATAATATTTGTGTTGTTTTCTCCTTTCTACTAACCATGTCAGGAAAAGCTGGAGGCAGCGGCCAAGGAAACGAGGATGCACCTACAAATTTCAATGACTGTGTTTCTAAGAATGGGCTTCGTGCCGTTCTTGATGACAAGTTCAATGAGATCCTTCAACAAATCACCAATTTGGCCAAGAGGATTGAAGATGTTGAACAACGACATCCTGAACCTCATACTGAAGATGATGAGGATGATCTCTCTAAGGAGGATGATGGCGACGCGGAGGCTGAAGCCAAAGCTCAACGACGTGTCGAGGATGCACGTAACCGTAATCGGTTGAACTTTAACTGACGCGGTATGGGAGGTAATAACCGTGGTAATAATGATCCTTTCTCTAAAACCAAGTTTAAGATACCTCATTTTTCTGTTTCTGCTGATCCTGAGGCATATTTAGATTGAGAGATGGCTGTAGATAAAAAATTTAGCTCCCATCAAATACCGGAAGAATATAGAGTTAGACTTGCTACTAGTGAGTTTACTAGTTTTGCTCTTTTCTGGTGGAATGATATTTGCAATAATGTTAATGCTAATGCTCAAATACCTCACACCTGGACTGTACTTAAACGACGAATGAAATCGAGATTTGTTCCTCCATACTATCAACGTGATCTACGATTAAAACTGCAACGTTTAAATCAAGGTAGTAAGACTATTGAGGAATATTATCAGGAGCTTTTAATTGGTCTAGCACGTAGTAACATACAAGAGGATGAAATGGATAAGTGTTCTAGATTTTTTGGAGGTTTGCGTCGTGAAATACAGGATGTTCTTGACTATAAAGAATGGACTAGATTTTCCTAATTATATCATTATGCTATTAAAGCTGAAAGGGATGTACAGGGACGGCAACCTAGGCGTTCCATGACTCCGTCCGCGACTCCATCCATTCCTTCATGTCCAACCAAGGTGAGTAAATTTTCTAATGTGCAGACACCACCAGCGCCTGTAAAGAAGAGTTCTCCTATCACACCTTCTTCCAGTGGATCTGCTACACCTTCCTCTAGCAGCTCTTCTAAAGTTGTGTGCCACTGCTATAAGGACATGGGACATATTGCTAAAGAATGCCCTAGCAAATGCGCATATATTGCTACTAACACTACAAAAATTTGGGCTTTGTATGACAAAGGCAAATTGTCACGGTAAGTACATAATTTGTCATAAAAAGCATCTTATGACGAAAAGGCAGCGTCACGCCGATCGTCATATAACGACCATCACATAATGTACCTCATGACGATACCATGGAGAACCGTCACAAAATGTGGTTACCTTTTATGACGGTGTGTTTCCAGCGTCACATATTAGTTATCTTTTATGACAGCTGTGCTCGTCACATATTGGATAGTCAACGCGTCACTTTATGTACACGCCGTCACAAATGATTCGGTGGAAGACATGTTTGGATGGGTTTTTGCGACGCCACAATAGCGTCATATATACAATTTTATATTTTGTGACAACTATATTTCGTCTTGTTTTGGATGGTAGTTTGATGCATTTTGAGACGACTGTATGGTGTCACAAGTTGTCTTCATTCATGACGAGCGTGGCATGCATATTCAGTGATGACACAGATCTTTCATCACATCTCACAGAAGCATAATACACATATATAATCCAATCCATCATCCACAGAATGCACTGAAGCCATCATCCACATGATTGACATCACAGGTCATAAATCATACACACTTGTTCCAGCCACACATTGTTATCATCCACAAACATGCATACATATAAGTTTCTGGTTGCAGGTTACCACACATTGTTCCAGCACACTTGTTCCACCACATAGTTTCAGGTCACCAACATAACAGATAAATAGATAGCACATTGGACTGACAAAGTTCCAACCACACAGAGTAAGTTCTAGCTAGGTAGCAATAACATAGGCAAAAGCCTCATCCTGTGAAACTGCATTCATACCTACCTCAATCTTTCTGAAGTTTGAGGATAGCTCGCAGCAGTGCATTAGTCTCTTCAAACTTGGTATTCATCCCCTTCACTTCCTCTTGAGTCTGGCGTAGCAAACTTTGGTTTTCTTGGAGTGTGGCCTGCTGAGCTTGAAGCTGTGCTTGCAATTCTTCCTGCTTCCTAGCAGCTTCATCTCTTTCAGCTTGAAGCCTTGCCTCAAACTCAGCTTGAAGGCGTGCTTGTGCTGCTGTCGATGAGGCTTGGCCAGTCTTCGACAGTCTAGGGACACCAATGTTTGGAAGAAAGGTGGATGAATGGCTGATGTGGCTGAGACTTTCAGCAACAATAGTGGAGGGAGACTTTTGTGCTTCTCCTTCTTCTGGCTCTCTTTCCTTCTCTGCCACCATTTGTTCCTACATAAAATGAATGTAGTTAATAACAAGGCCATAGAATAGTACAGAAGCAGGCATTTACTTGAGTACAGTAGATGTATCCAATCATTTAGGAACTTACATATATTTCATCTGCAAGAGGAGTACGACCACTTTGGCGACTAGTCATGCACTCCCCAAAGAAATCAACAACATCTGGTTCCATGTTGTTGTACTTAGGCCTCTGCAGCATGTTAAAAGCAGAAGATATAAGAGTAGCCATGAATTATATGTACATGCCAAACACCAAGATGCCAAAATATGTATGCACTAGACATCATACTAGTTTTTGCCTAAGTATTTGCCTCTAGATTTTTTGTGCCAACAACAAATGCAATCACTAACAGTCAACTAATTTCTGACAGTTGGAGAAAAACAACTCAGGATTATGCATCAATCCAACCTGGACAGATCAAGAAGAATAAGTTGGCCTAATCAACACCTACTACTACTGTTGATGAGCATCTCTGATGACATAACAATTTGTATTGCAGATTTCAGTTTGAAATGGTCAACTTAAGAGATTAGGAGCATAAACACCTACTGATTATAGCTCACTCAGCACATCGCAAATATTATGAACATGGGAGCTCATCTCAGAAATCATAGGGCCAAAGCCACAATCAACTACAAAATCAGAGCTCATCTCAGAAATAAGTGGAGCAAGTGCTAACTTGATAGTCCACAAGCACATGGTAATTACTAAGCTACAAATGTCCCATCTTTCAAGCTAATTATACAAAAGACATAGTATATGTACCAGGCTGTATCGATGGGCAATATATGACCTAGCTCTAGTCTTTTGGTGCAGCTGCACTTGGCCTCGGTTAACTTTATTCTTAGCAGATTTTTCCTGCACCACAAATGCAATAAAGAGTTGTCATTCACATGCACAGGTTGCATTGCATAATAACAAAAGGAGATAATTCAGGCATGGACCTTATTCTTTGGGTCACACCAGTACTCTACCAGCTTTACCCACTCCTCTTTCTTCATCTTTGGTGGAGGCTATTTGGCCAAGAGCTGTTCCATTGTGAGTGTAGGGTCGAAGTACTTCATTTTCAGGTGATACCTCTGCTGCCTTACTCCCTTCTTGATGATATCAGTGCATGCAGCTTTGCTTGGTCTCTCATTCTTAATATCCACATCCAACCTTGACTGCAGTCACACATATGAGATATTAGACACAATTTTTGACATGGTAGTGGAGTAATGAAAGGAAGTATTTGGAGTGAAATAGCTATCTTACCGCCACTTTCTCAAGCACTTTTGTTATTTGTGCCGGTCCCGCATCTTTTTGATATAGCTTCCAAGATGTTAAGATAGGCAGGTTGTCTCTCAGGGCAACACCAGTTTCTGATGCTAGTTTCGCTGCCTGAAGTGGTACATCAGGTCTTTTCTTCCCTTCAGCCACCTGGATAGCCAACTTCTTTCCTCTATTTATCATCTTCTCTAAGCCATGACCCATGGTTTTCTTGCGGACATTCTTTTGGCGCACTGCATTAGCAAATATTGATCAAAATGTGTTATTAAAGCAGTAACAATTGTAGATAATGATTGGAGAAATAAATGCTTGGCAGTATGTATTGTTTACTTGGAACTAAGTCATCACTTGGTTCTCCTTCACATGTATTACCCTCTGAATTAGCAGCATCAAATTGCTCAGCTGACTCATTGATGTCATTGCTTTGCCTAGAGCTCTGGCCACCTGGCGAGGTGTCTGTAGGGATTGGCTGGTTAATACTAGTTGCGGGAGTCATTTGCCTCGACTGAGACATGGTAATAGTGGGTCTAGGAGTATGCTTAGGGTTAGCACCAGGCGAAGACATGGCTGCACTTTGCCTGGTGAATCTAGGAGGACTAGGCATTGGCTTTACAGCAGGCATAGACATGGCTGGACTGGTCCTAGTATGCTCAGGGTTAGCACCAGGCGAAGACATGGCTAGACTGGTGAATCTAAGAGGACTAGGCACTGTTTTTTGAAGTGGCGCAGACATGGCTGGACTGTTTGTCGTCTTAGTTGGATTACTAGGCACTGTGCTAGTAGTCTCTGTGGTGTTGCTGGTGTTTGGTGTGAGGTGGCCTTGCAGTTGGCTGGCACTAGAGATGGCAATAGGTTTAGGTTTGGCTTTGGAAGTGTTCTTAGGAGGCAAGGGATTTCTTATCCTAGGTGGTGGACGGCCTCTAGGCGAAGGCATGGCTGCACTTTGCCTAGTGAGTTTTATTGGCGTCCGCAGTTCTTGCTGGTTGGCAGCCGCCATTATTGCTGCCTTTTGCTTCTTCTGAGGGCGAGTTCCTGGAACCATCGCTCCTACCTGCCAAGAGAAACATGCATCTTAGTAATGAACAAAGAAGTGTCAAGTAGCATAATTAAGTACAATGAACTATATGTTTGAAATAGATATACCATAAACTTGTTAGTTGGCCTAGTAATGCATCTCACCTCGGTATTGACCTCATTATTGAGGTCATCGTCATAGTCATCATCAGTGTCAGATTGTTTATCAACATCAGAGGAGGGGTCATATTCAATGTCAGATTCTGGATTGTCAGATTCTGAATTCCCCCTGCCCTTTTCCTTTTTTGATATAACTTCTCTAATAGACTGAGCTAAGATTGGAATACCGAAAGACTTAAAAACTTCCTGAACATGCTTTACATTCTCATCCCTCTTCTGCTCATAACTGGTTTTTGTCATTTCCTCTATTACTTAGTACGATGAAACGTAGAAAGAGCAGAAACTAGATTCAGTTTCTGTAAAAGGAGTTGAAGAAATAACTAACACATCAGTACTTTGTTAAATAGTAAAAAGAAGGCAAAGTATCAAGTAAATTCAACTAACATGGTTATGCAGGTAAATGTGACAAGAAACAACTAACAGATGACAACAATGTCTCAACAACTAACAGATGACAGGCGCCCTATGAGCCGTGGATGTCGTCGGGGCAGCGTGAGCTACGGATCTGGCCTCCGGCGTCGGGGTGGTTCCGGCCTCCGGCGTCGGCGCTGACAGAGTCCGGGAATGGATCCAGCGTCGGTGCTGACGGCGTCGGGGTGGCGGCGGGGTGCCGTTAGGTTTCGGGGAGGGAGGAGGAGGCCATGGTATGCGCGAGGAGGAGTAGATCCTGGCCGGGGATGGAGGGGATGGGCGGCGGTGTGGCGGTGTGGGGATGGAGGGGAGTGGACTGTGGTGCCCAAGAGGATAAGGCAGGAGGGGAAATTTTGGTCTGACGTCGGGAGTGGACTGTGGTCACAGCCAACGCGTAGGAGAGCGGGCGGTGGAGGTAGCCAATTTTGGTCTGACGCGGTGGGTCCGCTGTGTCGGTGGCAGAATGCAGCACTTGCATTGTTCTGTCCTGGCGCGGTGGGGCCCCTATGTCAGTCATAGAAATAGTATTATTACGAAATCAAATACATTTTTGGGGTACTAAATGTTTCGAACTGGAAAAATGGTAAGAAACAAAGTTGTTCAGCGCATCGAGATCTACCATTTGTATTTCTAACATTTTTTTAGTTGACTTTGTTTAGAGAGTTCAAACTTTGAATTTGGAAAATTTTAAACTTGAAACTCAAATTTGAGGTACTAAGTAATTCCAAATGACAAAGTCATGAATACAAAAGTTGAACAACTCATCAACATCTAAAACTTTTGTATAGACCATTTTTTCATATGACAAAGTGATTAAAACTTTGTTCTCAAATTCTACTTATCTCTCTTATATTTTCATATGACAAAGTGATTAAAACTTTGTTCTCAAATTCTACTTATCTCTCTTATAGAACTATAAGAGAGATAAGTAGAATTTGAGAACAAAGTTTTAATCACTTTGTCATATGAAAAAATGGTCTATACAAAAGTTTTAGATGTTGATGAGTTGTTCAACTTTTGTATTCATGACTTTTTCATTTGAAATATTTTTTAGTGTCTAAATGTGGTTTGTTTTTGTCACTTTTTGGAAATTCAAAGTTGTTAGTGTTCAATTTTTGTTACATTCAAATATGACCAAACTCAATCCAACTAATGGATACATCATGATTTTAGAAAATTTTAGAAAAAAAAACATCAAATTTGGAGCATGTATGTGGGAGTAATACTAGTTACAATTTTTTGCCAAAGATCAAAAAAAGAAATGAGCTTTGCACAATGAAGGCCTAAATACTATGAAGGCCCCACCTGTCATAGAAAGTTTGCTCCACTAAGACACAAATGTGTTGAGGCCGGCCACATCTGGCCACCTGCTCTTCGCCGACCACCCCCACCTGCTCCATAGCCGACGACCCCTATCCCACCTGCTCCTCGCCGGCGACACCGTACCCCACGTGCTCCTCATTGGGCTCGATGGATGGCAGCTAGGGGAGCGACCGCGTGAAGCTACTCCTCCTCTCAGGTCCCAGCGCGCTGACCTCGACTGCTCCCTCGCCTAGATGCCTGCTCCTCCTCTCAGGTCCCAGCGTGTCGCCGGTCGGCTGCTCCTCGACCGTGTGGTTGCTGCTGACCAAGCCGACCGGAGCAATTGCTGACCCTCGCCCGGCCGGAGGAGGCTGAAGCCTCACCAGCCACCACATTGGTGCATCTGCTGGCTGAGGAGCTGCTGAAGCCTCGTAGCCCAGCCCATCTGCTTGCCACTGGCTCGGCAGCCATTGTTCAAGGTTGATTTTTCAACATATATGAAGCATAAACATAATTTGTCCACATCATGATTTTTAAATTCTTGGCACTTACATTGTCTAGATGGATAGGAGCTGGGTTTATAACAGTGCACCATTTACTCCCGCCTATATGGATGGTGTTGAACAGTTCATGGCACATGTCAGAGCTAGATATAGGCCTCATGAGGAAATCAAGTGCCCATGCCGCAAATGCCCGAACCAAAGAGATAAAAGTCAAGCTGAGGTACAAGAGCATATAGAAATCAATGGTATTTCTAAAATGTACACAAGTTGGATTCACCATGGAGAGGAGATAATGATGTTGTACAAGATGGAGAACTCCCCTGTTGTACACGAAGATATGTCATGGGATGGAAATGACTAGGCTCCACTTGATGATGAAGGACAAAGTGAAGATGTCATATTAGATGATAGTGAATGGGGAGTTCGGGGTTTGATTCAAGATCTGATACGCGCAGACAAGCCATGGGGTCGGTGCCAACTTATATAAGCAAATCATGGAAGAGGCAAAGCGTGAACTTTATCCAGGTTGCACCGAGGAGTCTAGGCTAAGTTTCATTATTAAAATGCTGCATATAAAAGTGTACAATCGGATAACAAATTTTGGGTTTGATTGAATGCTTGAGTTGCTTTCAACATCATTCAAAAATGTGACCGGCCTCCCTAAGTCCTATAATGAAATGAAAGCTCTACTTCGGAAGCTTGGTTTTGGTTATGTTTCTATTCATGTGTGCAAGTATGACTGTGCCTTATTTTGGAAAGACCATGAAGAGGATGATCATTGCCCAGTTTGTGGCTTCACAAGATGGAAAGTGAACAAGGAGGGCAAAAAGAAAGTTCCTCACAAGGTCCTCCGTTACTTTCCAATAATTCCACGCCTCCAAAGGCTTTTTTTATCTCAAAGCAATGGGCACAATATGCAAGATGGCACAAGGAAAAGAGGGTAGCGATTGAGAATGAAATGAGACATCCTCATTGATGGAGAAGCTTGGAAAGAATTTGATGATACTTTCAAGTCTTTTTGAGATGATCCTCGTGAGTTTGAGGCTTGCCATTACTCCTGATGGATTTAACCCATTTGGTCAGATGACCAATTCATATAGCATCTGGCCAGTGATAGTGGTTCCATACAATTTTCCACCATGGATGTGTATGGACCAATCCAATTACATGCTTGCTTTACTAATTCCTGGCAAAAAATCACCGGGCAAAGATTTCCATGTGTTCATGCAGCCTTTGATAGCAGACATGCTAACTCTTTGGAATGGTGTCCCTACTTATGATGCATATGAAGGCAAAGACTTCAGTCTGCGTGCAGCGATTCTGTGGGGAATCCATGACTACCCTGCATTAGGTACCATGTCAGGCAGAAGCACTAAGGGTTACTTCGCATGTGTGCACTGTGATGAGAATCCATGCTCCGAATGTCTGACCAACAAAATTGGATTCATAGGCCATAGACGTTTCCTCCCAAACAACCATCCGTGGAGGAAAAATAGATCTTTCAATGGCCACCATGAAAATAGGGAGCAGCCAAGGAAATTTAGTGCAAATGAGGTTATGGCAAGGTTGGATGAAGTTTGCTATGTTCCTGGCAAGAATCTAGATAAGCCGAAATCAAGAAAACGACGCCGTGGTGGAGAACCAGTATGGCATCTGAAGGTTAGCTTGCATGATTTGCCATACTGGTCAAAATTGAAGCTACAGTACAACCTTGATGTTATGCACATAGAGAAAAACATATGTGAAAACATTTTGTCAACTCTACTTAATATTCCGAACAAGACAAAGGACACAATTGCTGCTAGAGTAGATTTGGAAGAAAGAGGTATAAGAAAAGAGCTTCATTTGTTAGATGACACTGGTGATGCATCCTCAAAGCCAAGAGCTTGTTACGTTCTAACACCAGAAGCAAAGAAGAAGTTCTTGCAATTTGTGAGCAATGTTAAGTTTCCAGATGGCTATGCCTCCAATATATCAAGATGTGTCAATATGGAGGGAGGAGGATCAATGCATGGGCTGAAAACACATGACTGTCATATACTACTGCAGCGTATTTTACCAGCTGGCCTTCGTGGTTTGGTGCGAAAAGACGTATATGAAGTAATTGCTGAGTTGGGTAGGTTTTTTAGACAACTTTGCTCAAAAACTCTAAAGGTTGATGCACTAAAACAAATGAAGGAAGATATTGTGCTTACTCTTTGCAAGCTAGAGAAAATTTATCCTCCTGCATTCTTCGATGTTATGGTTCACCTAGCAGTTCACTTACCTGATGAGGCACTCCTTAGGGGACCGGTGCAGTATGGATGGATGTACCCCATTGAGAGAAGATTGGGCACCTTTAAGCATTTCGTCCGTAATAAAGCAAGACCTGAAGGTTCTATTGCAGAGGCATACACTGCCTATGAGTGTATGACCCAGTGCTCAACATATTTCAGTGACATTATTAATAGGTTCACAAGGCCTGAAAGATACTTGGATGGAGAAAAGAACATCTCACCCAATGGTTACTCTATTTTTGGTCATGGTGTTAACCTGTTGGGTGCTTCAAAACTTCATTATGAAGACAAAGACTATGACTCCATGGTTTGGTTTGTTCTAAATAACTGCGAAGAGGTTGATGAATACAAAGAGTGAGTAATTGTTGTAATTTCATTTGAGCCATCTTTATTCAAAACAAGTGTCACAAAAAGACTAACTATCTTCTTCCTTTGCAGCATGTATAGGGCAGAATTAGAACAACAAGAGGTCAACGATGTTGAAAAAATGATGTCAACATAATTCGCTGCATGGTTTGAGAATCATGTGTGTGCAGCTTCTACAACATGACTTAATAATTTATGATACAATACACTCTGAAACTCAATAATTTTGTATGTTTACAACCTGCAGATTATGAAATTGAAATATGAAGGCACAACATATGTTGATGAAGACCTGTACTCACTAGCATGTCGGCTGGATCCGCGTGTGCGTTCATACATAGCCTGCATAATCAATGGGGTACGGTACCACACTATGGCTCGT